TTGCAAAATTAATCCATTATGCGATGTTACAGTGAAAGCTTTGATGCTGGACCATACAAACCACTATGTATTTGCACCTCTGGCTACTGCTTCAGACACTTTAATCGGGTTTTCTAAAAGTTCCTGGATTACTCCTAACATGATCTCATTCTCACATGTATTCGTAGCTCTTTTGGCCGCAAAATTTATTGCTACTGATGATATCATATTCAGGAGGATCGGTGTAATTTTATTTCAGTTCAGAACTTTTTTGGACGATCTTGATGGTCATGTTGCCAGAGTGAAGAAACATATAAGAGGTGAACGGTCTGAGATTGGTACTATGGGTTATTACGTAGATGGAATATGTGATGGTTTAGGTTGTATAGCCCTAATGATTGGTGTGTTTTTGTGTTTAAAAAATAATCCTCCAAGGCGCGGCTATACACCTTTGCAACCTATTTTACCAACAGAAAACAAAATCATTGAATGTGGTATACTTTATAAAATGAAGATAACATCAAGGAAGTTAATGAATGTTGTTCTGTGTTTTTCGGGTCAACTTTTATTGAGCAGTACTGCTTGGAACCGATACATTGCTTTATATCAGGATATGCTTGAAAGAGATAACTTGCCATTGATAGAACTTACAAAGCAAGATTTGGTTCTACGATCAAATCTATTTTTTGCTGTTTGTTGGATGTGGAGAGTGATAAATGTGCATTCTTTGCTGCACTGCTTACTATTTGGAATTTTCTGTGATAAAATGTGGGGATTTTTAAGGGGGATACAACATATTGGTTTTGTTGTTTTGTTGTGTGCGATATGTTTAACAGAGATGCATGTTTTGGAGGCCCAAAATTTTATTTTTAACTCGTTGACTGGGAATAGTACCACATTGTGATTTAAAAAAGATTTTATTCGAGATTTTTTTTTTTTTTAAAAGATTCTTTGTTACGCAAATTGAATTTGCCTTTGATATAATGTACTTGCCTGTGTTACTTATTAAATTGTATAGTTATATTTATTGAAGTTATACATGTACTCTATATGATGCATTTGTTCAAATTAATGATTTAAGCTTATTGCAAATGCATTGTTAGATTTTATTTTAAATTTTATATGCCAAGATAAGAAACCAGTCCGTCTTAATGTGCTTTTAAAATAAACATTTTTATACATAATATTAAGTGAAATATTGTATATTTTATGTGAAAACATAGCAATTAAAATTTAAAATTTGTTGTTAAAATATCGTTTTTAACAAATTAAACAGTGATTATTTAAAATTAGAAAAGTGATTAAAGATTTTTCGGATCGGGTATTGGGTTCGCAAATTGATATTCATTTAAATAGTTTGATGGCGAAACCAGAACATTAACAAATGTCTGATTTTGTAGTCCTTTAGGGTTTGACTTAGAATTGGTGGCTTTTATACTCTCACACCAACTAGGTCATTATTCAAAATTAATGTTTGCCTTTGGAAATCATCATCATTTTTGAGTGGTTCTGGAGCAAATTTTCTTATTTTCTGTTGTAAAATATCTTTTGTTGTAAAACTTGTGTATCGATGATTTCCAGTAGTTGCAATATTTTCTAGAATTGATGTTACTTAATCATTTTCTAATATATTTGATCTCAAATCTTCATTTAATTTAGCAATTTCATTGGTGTTTTTTATATTCTACTTGATTATCATTATTTGTCATCTATTCTAAATCTGTTACAATTGGAGCTATAAAAGTTCCTACTAAATATTTTTGTTCTAATGCCCTGTAACCAGTTTCAAAGCATTCTAAAAGCCAATCTCAAGTTAGTGCAGATAAATTCCAATTTACTTAAGCTCGATATTTAATGCTTTTTGTATTTTTTGCAAATGGTCCAAATCCTTTACTAAGAAGACCAAATCATATAAACTTTCCATTGGTTTGCTCATTGGATCAATTTATTGAAAACATCAAGGAGAAATATTAATATACTAATAATACGTTCTATACATTTAAAATGAAGATTGTTACTGTCATAAAAACCAAATTACTTCGTTGTGGTCCATATACCCTATAAAAGGTCTTGCCTTCCACCTATGCCATCTACAAAAAACATGAATATTGATATGATACTTTAAAAGAACTCGACACAGTTCAAATTTTTTTCAAATTAAATTTAATGTTATGAAAGTGAAAATAATTTACATACAAATTACAATTACTAATTAAGAAATTTTTACTAATCTTTCAGATTAATCTTTTAAATAGTCTTAACAACGAAAAGGCTTAACTTTACTTATTACGATTATTATCTTTATACTGTAGTTTTCAAATTTGTGGACTAATTTGTTTTGCTTTGATAATTTGAGGCTTGCATTGGTTCTTGAAAAAAAAACATTATTTTTATGCAGTTGTTGTAACAATCAATATATAAGCCTATTATTAATTATACATGGGGATGGTAGTGTAATATCTAATATTATTGCTATGTAATGATTATGTTTTAAGATTCCTGAAGGTATCGAAAGGCTTGGTTTGTTTTCTTATTTTTGTAAAAATAGGACATATAATTATGGTCTTATATAACTTCACAAAATACGTACCGTCCGATATTTAAGAAGAAATCGGAATTAAATATTTTCCACAAAATGTCATGTTTTATATATTTATCTCGAAATACTTTATTTTAAATTCATTAATAAATGAATATTTTTAATACGAATAGCTTTTATAACGCAAGTGTACTTATATATACATAAAATATAAGAGGTTTTAATTGTTAAAGACTGCTAAAAGAAGTATATAGCTTGCATTTTATGCTCAAATATTATATTTATATAATACAATAGTATATAGTTTTAGACTCAGTTGGTCTTATTCATGAAAAATGAATTATTGAATAACCTATGAAACAAAATTGAAACTTGAACCACATGTAAAATTCTGGTTATTTGATATATATTTTTTGTGAATAAGACCTAAGATTTATATATATATATATATATATATATATATATATAATTAAACGAAATTATTCTTGGCGAAATTACTACATTATTTAAAAGGCCCTTTTCTATAGGGTGCTGAGGGTGGATTGCATTCTTTCCATGAGATTTTCAATTATTTTTCATGTTTTTTATGTGATGATTATTTTCACTTTTTTATTGATATTAACTAAATAATTATTTTTATTTGTATAAAATATAAATTGCACGTAACTGCCTCATTTTACAACAAAAGCTATTATTCGAAAATTGATTCTCATTTATTTTTGATGAGCACAAATATTGCGTTCTTATGTGAAATTTGGAAAATACACATTGATAAGATTTAATACATAATAATTAAAAATCTATAACGCAATTTATTCATTATTTTTTTTATAATTTGCGATAAAGATAATATGTGGCCTTGCTCATTATACCACAGCTTATGTTTGTTATCTGATTGTTTTATTATTATTTAATTTATTTGCCTCATTACGCATCTTACACCTTCTTAAAGATTAATATGATCATAATTTTTATAAATATAAAATGTTAATACCATATTATTTAAAGGCTTAACTAATTTATCCATTAATTATTTTCAATTACATTTATCACACAACCAATTGTGCTACTAAACTTAATTTGTATTACTTATATTGTTAGTACTTTTGTATTTTTGTAAATACTCGAATTTTTCATCACTAAATATATACTTTGATGCAATCCGCCCTTAGAATTAAATCCTTAAGTACTCACAGTAATATATATTTATATTTTTATGTACAAGTATTCATTTATGCATTTTTTTTTTTATTAAAGTGGTTTTGAAACCGCTATTAATTTTAAGTTAAATTTGCGCTTTGTGTAATTGTATCTTCCGTAAGTGGGCTTTCGGTTCTAAAATGATTATTGAAAAACTGTATTATCCATTACAAAATGATATAATAATCTTGAGTGATATAATGTAATGTGATTTGTGATATATTTTGTTTCAAACTTTTACGAAATTTGTTAAACAAGAATAGTTATTAGCGACACCGATGTTTGGGTGAAGGTTTTTCAAAATTGTCTAGTCAAAATTAGATTTTCAAAAAAAAAAAATCGCACAAAGAATTTGAGTGAAGAAAATCTCGCATGGTCTTGTTGATGCTAGTTTTTTATGATTGCAAATTTATAATAGATACAGATAATTATTGCAGAATATGTGTACCTATATTTTTCCGCAATAATTTTTATATAAGTGTTCCAAAAGTTTATTTTGTAACTGACTAATAAATTACGATTTTATTCCTTACAAACGTTTCGAAACCTGATCTCATTTTTAGTGTAATATAAATTAAATATGTTTATAATAAGAGTTTTTTTTTTTTTCAATAAAAGAAAATGTTCTTTTGTATTTAAATAATTTAGTAAAGTAAAGCAAAATATAATTGCATAAGATCAAAAAAAAATTGCATTTGCAATTGTGAAGTTCGTGTTATGTATTAAACTAGATTATATAATTTCATTTGCAACATATTTTCAGTTTCAGTTTTAATTTCTGGCACATCTCAGCTGGTTTTCGGCAATAATATTGTAGATATTAAATTTTTCTTATTCATTATTATGAATATGGATATTATTATATACCAATATTGTCTAGGCTCTCTTAAACTAAATTCAAATTTCAAGTAAATCTAATTTTTGGCAGATGACAGTTCTTATGTATTAAAATATTTTCAATGTCAAACAATGATATGTTGTTTATTGCAATTTTTTACATTTATTTCTATAATATAACTATATTTTTATAATCACATACATCCTAAAAAATTTCCTTAACAAACTTCAGATAGATTTATCAAAATCCGAATAATCGTTTAGAAGGAGTATATTTACATACATCATTACAGAAGAACTTTATTATATATAACGATTGAAAAGGAGACAAATCTAGTCTCGAAACGTTTGTTAGAAATAAAATCGTTATTCGTTTTTATTTAATATTTTTCAAATTTTCATATTAATTGGTCACTCATAAAAATTGACTGATTTTTTATGGACTATGCGAGAAAAAGTATTTAGTAGCATGATAGCTGAAATTAATATTATATTAAGATAAGTTTTGAAAGACCACTTTATAAGCGCACAGATTGCCTAATGTTACAAAAAATATTTGCCTGATGGTAGTACATTGAAATTTGCTAGAGGTATAATATAAATCGCAATTGTTTTGTTCGCATTTAATTTTTATTTACTTCATACTAAATAGGCTTTTTTTGGATTTGTCGATATTATTTGAGATTAAAAAGTTTTGCTCAATAAAGTTATATATTCAAAGCATATTTGGACAAATCTAAAAAAAGCCGAATGCACAACAATATTGGTTGTGGGTTGTATAGTTGTTAGTTTTTAAGAACTAACAGTTTAAAGTCTGAACCAGGTTACTAAAAAGTTATCTATACTTATATTGTTTATGCTGAAAGTTATAAATATTATATATTGTATGAATATAAAAATAAAAAGTATTTATTTTTGCTTACAACTAAAATTATTGATTTTAATCGATGATTATCTAATGGCTCTAGTGTGATTTTCTATACAAAAAAAAGTTTCAAATAATCTGGCATGATAGTTGTCCAGTATCATAATCTATATTATATTAATATAATATAACAATATAAGTACATATATATAACTTATAGATAATGATACAATGTTCGTTTCGTCATACATTATATTTAGTTTGGCAACTTTCTTAGAGTTTTCAATTATTAATATCAATTATCATCAATTTTGGTGATTGTTCGGTATTAGTACGGAAATTCAATGAATTTTATCAAAAAAATTATAAATTGTAAATTTGGATATATTTTGTATCACATCGGTATCAGTACGGAAATTCAGTAAATTTTATTGAATATTTTGAAAATAGCAAATTTGAATATATTTTGTAACACGTTTAAGTAAGTCTTCTTATTTACTTGAAAAATAAATGCAATTGAGATTTGAAAATTTTAAAATTAAGTTTTCGGTTAGGGGAACTACATGAGATCAAATATTTGAAAATTCTTTTGGTAATTTTTTTTATACTCATGTTTTAATAGCAATCCAAACTTTTGTTCTATTAACGGTTGCCCTCATTTTTCTCTCTATTTAGATGGTAACCCAACGGTTAATCTATCCTATATTTATTAATTTATTATTATAATTTATTTAATAGTGCTGATATCTTTCTTATACACTGGGGAGCATAGTTTAGATCTATATTTCCAAAAGAAAATGGATATCTTCACTTCTCTTTTCTAAAATTATAAATGATTTGTAATCCTAATCTATTTATTTCGATTACATATATAATCTTATATATTTTATTGATGCCCTCTTGCATTTCTCCAATAAAAAATGTTATTTTTTGCTATACACTTCGTAGTAGCTTCAAGTAACTTGTGATTTGTATTTAATTTCAAAAACATATGATAATATTCTTATAATAAATTTTAGATCACCCTGCAATTTTAAAAATTCTAATCACAGATTATACAAGAAATTATGAAAAATGCTTGTTAACATATTTTGTTTTATTTTTGTAAACAGTAATTTCTCAGAATGTTATGAATATTTAACGTTTTCTTGCAAATTTTTAAGTACATAAATGACTCAGTAGCACTTTTGTGTTAAGTGTTTAAAGAGTTGAGTGTTTACTTACAGATCCACCTTTAATTTCCAATTTTTAAGTATGTAATTATAATTACAGTATACTTTTAAAATGGGATGTTCCACATAATTCAATCGGTGTATTGAAGGAAAAATCACGATTATTTAGGTTTGAGAATTGCAAATCGATAAAGATTTCTTATCTTTTGATTGCTCTTTTCTATATATTTCATTTCAATCTTGAACTATTAATATTGTCTTAAGGGCCATCTTTGTTCTGATATAATTAAAATTCAATGTTCACACTGTCATTGAACTTTTATATAGTATAATTTTGTTAACACAACTTCATACAAATAAAAACAATTAGCACCAATTTCTCATTTTCTGAAATGAAAAATCCAGAATGGCGCTAAAAAAATATCTTTTGAATAAAAACGGATATTTTAAGCTTATAATGTTTTGTACATTGGTACGGAAGTCTAGTATAAAAACTGAAATAAACTTATTAAATTCTGTAGAAATTTTGATAATTTAAGTGAAATTATGTTGAATTTTTATTAAGTTTATTATTCCATAAAGTTTTTGGAAAAAAATTACTCTGAATCCACTATGTTTGGTAAAAGCTGTGTAGTCAAAAATTTGTATTCAAACCAATAAAATTAGATTATCATAATTTTCATAGACATTTTACCCCAATATGCATACATTTTCTACTAAATCCTAATAAAATTAGGTGCAAGTATCATTTTCCCTTAATATATTAATAAATAAGAATTCAGATAAAAATTTCAATTGTTTATTTCAAAACTAAAATCTTCCAACTTATAATACCTGTAATTGTATTGTGCACAAACACGCACTTGTATGTCCTAAAAGCTCGGCCCTTTAATGATTTTTTATAATTTAACCACTTTTCGTAGGACTATAATATTTTATAAAGGTTAAATTTGGCTCACCTAAACCCACCCTCACATAATTTTTCCAATTTAGATCTCAAACGTTTTAGAATAACTTGAAACGCCAAGAAATCGTAAAATTAGCAAGTTGAATTTTTTTGGAAAAAAATTTCCTTCGGGAAGTTAAAAAAAATCAAAAGGTAAAATAAATACAACTAAAATAAATTTAGTAGATAGTTTGTTTTTTTGTTTTATATTATACCGACATTTCCTTTATTTTTTCAATGTATTTCAAACTTTAATTGAAATGTTAATTTTATTCATCTAATAATAAATTTGTAAATAGCAGCATCTCTCGCATATCTAAATAATTCATATTTTTTAACACATGTTTTATATTTATCATTTTCAGTATCTTTTAGAGGCAGGATGGGCCAAAAAGGGCATGATTGGCGTCACTCAACCGAGGCGCGTGGCAGCAGTTTCTTTGGCCACACGAGTTGCCGAAGAACGCGATGTTGCCCTAGGCGACGAAATTGGCTACGCAGTCAGATTTGACGATTGTACTTCTGATAAAACAGCAATAAAGGTTGGTTTAAATATTTATTGTTACAAGGAATCATTTAATAAATGAATTATTTAGCTGGTAGCTTACTGAACTTTGTCTGCGTATTATTTATGTATGATCTTCTCCACAACACAATTAACCTATAATGAAATTTTGTACCATGCTGCTCTATATTTACAATTATTAGTAAAATGCAGAAGCTAATAAAAGTTATGACTAGAAATGCAATAAATTTAACACTTTTATTACAATTGTAAAAAAAAAGTTAAATTTATTCTATATCTTTTGCCCACCAATTTACCTTTACCATATTTTAATCGATTCTTTGCCTTATCATACATTTATAGAATTTTTATTTACTTTACTATTCGACGTTCTACATATTTATTGAAATCTAATTGATTAACAATGAAACATTGATTGTATTTTTTACAACATTTACACTATTTTATTTTTATACCTTGCTCTTTTGAATTTTTACATTATTCTTTCACTGGAAACATATTTGTGGTTTATATTTCCAAGTTAAGATGGATATCACTACTGTACATGATACAAATTGTCTCGCGTGGTTTGAAATGTTTTTTTATAATCTGTCATTTAAGCTTAAATTATGAAAGAATCTCGGAATTCGAGATACCCAGCTGTAAGTCTCTAAATACTTGTGTATATACACCGTAAAGTTATCTCAAAACCTACATATGGTATTGACCCTCTACCATATGTAGGTTTTGAGACAACTTTAGGGTGTCAATATACAAGTATTTACAGACCTACAGCTGGGTATCTCGAATTCCGAGGTGAACTTACTATAATGACTGGACCTAATATCAAGCAGTAGTGACCCGCTTTTACTTGAAAATATAAAGAGAAATGTGCTTTTTATTGTTACAATGCATCATATAACAATATAAAATTTTCATCACAAAGATAAAGGATAACCATTAGGTTCTAGAAAATTCTTCACAACATCTGAGGTTTCATTGAACACTGAGAATTGTTGTTCAATTCAAATAATAAAAGAAAATCAACTTCAAAGTCATGATAGTGCATTACAGTTGTATCTATAATAATTATAATAAATAATAGTCTGCCCGAAGGCAGGTCCATTGTATGATATCACCACAAAATCAATGATTTTCCTCCCCTACTTGTTTATTCCCATTCCCATTTTATTACTATACCTATACATTTTATTACTATAATTACCATTTTATTTCTATAATTAATGACCATTTATCACTTTATATTCGTTTTTATAAATTTAACTTTCCAAACTTCTGGTGCTGTGCTTCGGTTTTCAGTTCTATGTATTTCTTCTTCTCGCGTAAGTCGTCAATCATTTGCATTCTTCTTCTTCCCAATCCTTTTAGTCCTTCTATTTTGCATTCGACGACGTCGTGTCGAATTATTAATTAATTGTCGTGCAGGAGGCACTCTTTTTGCAGAAGGGGTCCGATCCAATTTCCTTTTCTTTTCAGGATCGTGTTCAGTAAAGTCTTTTCTCTGCTCACTCTTCTTAGGACCTCTTCATTTGTTATATAGCTGAATCTATATAATTATATAATTACAATGCGATTTATATTTTTATTTCAAACATTTTTTTTATAGTTTATGACTGAAGGTATCTTGTTGAGAGAGATGTTGGCTAGCCCTTTATTAACACAATACAGTATTATCATAGTTGATGAAGCACACGAAAGAAATATGCTCACTGATATGGTCTTAGGACTTCTTAAAAAAATTCTAAAGGTAACAATTTTTTAATAAATTTTACTTGTAAATCCTATTTAGTTAATTTGATGAAATAACATTATTTGACTCGTTAAATGTTAATAATTGTTTTCAATTCATTTTCTGCATATATTGAAATTTAATTCTGCAAAGTAAAATTGAGATATAATTATATAAGAGACTTTCTTTAATAGATCTTTATTGATATTTGTACTATATAAATCTGTTTACTATTACTCGAGTAATATATGATCATATATTTTACGTCAAATACGTTTTCGACACTTTTTTATTATTATTTTTTGTATCTCTTATTTAGTTTTTTTCATAAACGAGTTTGTGATTCAATTTTTGATTAGATTTGCAAAGGTTTTTTTTATATATCTTCATATATTTATGATACAATATATTTATAATAACTTATATTAGTTCTTAATACAATACTTATACATTAGTTCTCAAGTGAGACCTTTCCAAATTTTTCTTTGACTTAATTTTTTAATATGTGATATCAAATTATTTTCTTTGACTTAATTTCTTGATATATTATATCAAAATTATTTATATTTTAATTCTTATTACTTACAAGTTGCGATTATGAGTTTTATTATTCTAAATAGAAGCGGAAGTCGTTACATCTGGTAATATCTTCAGCAACCGTAGATGCTGAATTTTTGAAGACATATTTTTCGGACACCAATAAACTAGGTGACGCTGCCACCATACTTGGTGTCCAGGGGCGCACTTTTCATGTAGACGTACATTATGTTGAAGGTAAATATAACGAATTTTATGATAAAATCAAGTACAAATTTAGATATAAAATATGTAGAAAGCTTATCTATAAATTACAAATTACTGATACTTTACAAATGCACTTAAGTGTTACTAAAATTTTTTTGTAACCTCACTCCACCAACCGTTTAAAGGATATTAATTTCCAATCGTGGTATTAGGTTTTGGTAAAGACAGTTTTTTTTAATGAAATGTTAATTTTTACTTGTATTAGTTTAAATATTCTTTTTTTGTAATCAAGAGTTGAAGATATATTTGTTCTAATTTTTCTCTAAATATTCTAGAAAAATTTATAAACTTCAAACTATGAATTTTATAACAAATCGGTTTAATATGCTGTATTTTATTAGTTGATCGACCGAGCATTTTCTTCGTAATTGACAATTGGAATTTATTTTTTTTAATCGTAAATCGATTTTGAACATCCTACATTTTTTTAAAGTACATAAATTGATGTAAATCTTCTAATTAGCGTTGGATAAAAGCCAGTTGAGCCATTTCATCTTGATTAACAAATTGTTGAGCATTCATTTTCTATAGTATACATTTTTCCTCATCAAGTAAAATATTTTTAAATAAAATATTAATCTTCAAGTATTATTATCAAGTTTTCAGAATTTTCTTGAAATCTTTATATTGGGCAAATACAAGCTTATTATAAAGGAAAAGATATGTATACTTACTTCTTTCTTATATTTCATGTATGTTTACTCTTATTTTAAAATTATCGTTTAATTAATTTAATTGATTATTTTTTTAGAGCCTGTACCATGCTACATTAAAGCTACAGCTGATACAGTATTAAAGATACATAAATCTGAAAATCCAGGAGATATTCTTTGTTTTCTGACAGGAATGGATGAAGTTGTCCAAGCCAAAAATATTCTGGCTGATCATTGCCTAACCAAAGGTATTGTAAATTATTGTAACCTAACCAAAGGTTTTGCACACTATTGTAAATAATATAGTGTAATTTATCAGCTTTAATATCATGCGAATAAAATATATATTTTAGCTTTTGTTCAAAATTGTTTATATTAATTGTATTAGTGAATTAAATAACATTTGAAAAATGCAGACATTGAAATGCATATAAACTCTTTATTGTATAATTTATACATTGTTCAATTTTTTTTTTTTGTTCTATCCAAGTAATATTTAAAATGTAGATATTAAACAGTCGTTTTGATTATTTTCATCCAATTATTATTTTTTATTTCATTTATCCTATAACAATATTTGCAGTCACGAATGTACTTTTACAATGAGTCCAGTTATTCAATATATTATAATTTTATCAAAGTTATATTTAAAATTATGCTTGATGTTTCATATTTAATTGAACTTATTATTGTTTTTAGACTATGAAGACTTAATCGTTTTGCCAATGTATGGCAGCTTGCCTAATAATGATCAACTTAAAGTGTTTTTCAAAACGCCTCGGGGGAAAAGAAAAGTAATACTTGCTACAAATATAGCCGAAACATCAGTTACCATTCCTGGAATAGTTTATGGTAAGGCTTATGAAACTTTATAGCTCTATATATTTTTTTTAGAAATAGTATTATTATTTTTATAAATAATACAAATGCAATCATGTTTAATATATATTTTAGTTGTGGACTGTGGCTATATGAAGTTAAAAGTGTTTAATCCTGCAGCACATGTAGATAATTTAGTAATAGTTCCTATCAGCAAAGCCAATGGTGTGCAAAGAGCAGGAAGAGCTGGAAGAATTCAACCCGGGAAAGTTTATAGGTGAGTTTTTCTTACTACTTTATATGTGTTAGTAATCAAAAATTTTATTGCAAGGGATGTTCAATATATTTACCATCCTCCTGTATTTTATATTAAAAATTATTATTTATTACAATGATTATAATCGTTGTTTTTGATAGTTAAATACTTTTATGTAAACGTTGCAAAAGTCGTTAATCTTTTTGGTATACAGGTATATAACACGGTACTTTTATAGCACGATTTTTCGATTCTAATTAGAAAATGTGCTTAAGCATATATACATTCTTTGGTATTTTGGTACATTTCTCGTTCGCACTTAAATAAAATGCATTTATTATAGAACTTTTTTTGGCGATATATCATGGTCTTATAGAACTTACGGGCTTACAAGTGGTTTAGTTTTAAAAATTCATGAAAGTTTGAGAAAATTGAGTAGTTTTTTCGACGTTTGTTAAAATTAAAATATGACGATTTATTTGGTATAACGATAGAGTACTTGGTCTTAATGAACATACTAAACCAATAAAGTCCTAGGGAACTTAGTTCAATTATACAAATTATGGATTTGTGAAAATTTGCTTTTAGAAAATACTAACGTGTTCGTTCGTTTTCAAATATGTGTAATAAATCCACTCGGAATACTTTTAATCACTCATAAATTAATTTATTTTTTATTAATTAAATCGATTATTTACCATATCGAGAAGTTCCTGTAACTTGTCTCAAGGCAAAATTAATTTAATACATATTACTACTTAAAAAAGTTTAATAAATATGTTTATCTTTATTATAAAAATACAATAACATGTTTTTTAACTTCCCGTAGGGTAAGTTATTGTAATGGGCCGAAAATCGGAATTGAAAATTTTTACATTTCTCGACGTTTTGAAGGTTTCTGAACATTTTGGCATACTTCAGAAAAAATGGATGTGTGTGTGTGTATGTATGTATGGATACAAATTTTCGCCCACGTTTTCGGGCGTACGGATCAACCGATTTGAATGGTTTAAAAAACATTCGATTCCTATTGATAAGGAGATGTGCTGATTAGTTTTTGGCAAAGGCAGGTCCAGCAGTTACGGAGATAAGGAGCAAAGAGTGCAGAAAATAGAAATCGAGTTTTTGAGAGAACGGAGCATCCGATTTGAATGATCTAAAAAACATTCAATTAGTAATGATTGGGAGAAGGGGTTATTAGTTTTTCGCAAAGGCAGGCCCAGCCATTTCGGAGGTACAGAGCTAAATGTACAAAAATGGCAGTTTTTGAGAGAACTAAGCGTCCGATTCAATTGATTCAAAGAACTTTCTGCTTGTCTTAACAAAATAATTGATTTTGGAAAAAAAAATTTTGTTTCATTTTTTTTTTTTTTTAATTTTTTGTATATCGAAAATAATTCCGATTTTATTTTTAATTCTGATTATAGTTCTAATATACTTTAAACAAATAATTTCAACTCTGCAAATCAGTTTATATAATTCTTATAAATATTAGACATAGTTACAATATTTATAATAATCTATTTGAAAACATTCAATATTCCTCGAACATTTCGTTACGGTACGGGAAGTTCCAGCAATTTGCCTTAAGGCACGATGCCACCCATAGATAAACAAGTATAAAATTGAACATTGAATATATTAAATTGAATATATAAATATTCCAATATTGTGCACGCGTATAACGGTAGTTTTTTGAAATGTGTTTTCGATCTATTTCGAATACATACTTCGATCTATGCCATGCACAATGGGCAGCACTAGTCGAAGTGCAATGGCGGCGTAGAACGTCAACTTCATACTACTTCATACTAAGCGTGCGTGTTGTTTTTATTATAAGCTGTCAAATTTTTAAAGAAAAATTTTGTGTTAACTATTTGTGTTTTATAATAGTATTTTATTCTGTAAAAAACATGTCTAAAGAACTTAATAATGAAGACATGTTTATTGTTGATGCAAAACCTGCCGAGAATTTAGACATTGTGCCGTCATATAGACAAAAAATTGATGAAGTTGTTCCAAAGCAGCTGAGTTTGAATGTGACTGATGAAACTAATGATTGCGCTCCTACAGGAATTTGTTTTAATTGCCAAGGAAGTCACAGCTTGCGCGATTGCACGAAACCAAGAGATCATGAAGCAATTTTAAATAACCGTAAAAAATTACAAACAACAACAAGATATCATCTAGATCTAGAAGATGAACAACAATATGGCCACTTCCAAGTAGGATGCATATCTAATGAGTTACGAGGTGCATTAGGCTTGGGACCTAAACAAATTCCGATGCATGTTTATAAAATGCGAGTTTTTGGTTATCCTCCAGGTTGGTTGGAGGATCACAAAATCAAGCATAGTGGATTGAGTTTAATCGATGCCCAGGTCAAGATGTACCAAAAATCCAATTCTGAAGACGGTGAACTTGTAGTAAATGGGCAAGATTGTAAATATGATGTAAAAAAGCTTATAACATACCCGGGTTTCAATACTAAACCAGAAACTGGTACTTTAGATGAAAGCAAATGTTATGGAGTGCCTCCTTTTAACCCATTGTTAGACAAGGATTCGATGATAAAAAGAATTGCTGATGATGCAGAAAGAAGCAAAATGAACTCTCCAGAACTTCCAACAAATAAAAATATCGATGATATGGACATTGCCACTGATGAACCTTCACCAACAAAGGACCACGATCAGAATGCATTTTCTCATTCTTTATTATCTTCAACTCCTAAACCTGCTTGTACATCTGGAGAAAGGACACAGTCACCTGCCATCGAGAGATGTGAGCTTAATAGGCCATGTTCACCTTCATTAACAGAGTTAGAGAATGAAAAGAGATTACTTTTACAAGAACTAAATGGTTTTTCTGCATCACTATCATATGAATCATTGCGGGATGACAGTTTTGTAGAAAGTAATAAAGATAATTCTATTAAAAGTAAGGATGCTCAACTGGATTCCACACATGAAGCTGAGAAAAATACTGATAATAAATTTAAAATTGATGACATAAAGGAAGTTAAAGACGAAAAGAAAACAGAAAATGAATCTACTAATACCTTAAGTGAAATTGGAAATACCACTGATGTAGTACAAACTGATGAACATGTAAAAAAAGATTTAAATGAAGCTAATAATGTTAAAAATGATCTTGAACCTGATAATGTGGATACTCAACAGAATGAAGAAAAGAAAAAGCTTTATGTTGAAAACATTAAAAGGACATCTCATCAAACGCCTATAATTAATTACTCTCAATTTTCTAAAATACCTATTGCTGAAAGTTTTTCAAAAGAAATGTCTGATGTAATCAATTTTGAAAATTTGCCCGATGCTCTTGGCAAATATGACAATATGAGAGATGTATTGAGTAAAGTCAGAGGTGCTCTAAATAATCTTAAATAACTAATTCCAAACTATATATATATATATATATATATATATATATATATATATATATGTATACGTATAAGTAAATTGAATAATGACTATATATTGTACATATGTATTGTAATAATTTGATTATGATGGTCGTTGGTAGGATTTGTTCAGATAAACTATAGTACTACACCAAAAGATAAGGCTGAGAATGATATGATAAAGAGTAAATATAAGAAAGAATTTGATGTTTTATTGAACTTTATTTATTGAAGTATTTGTTTTATTGTTACTATAGTTTCGGAAAGAAAAACTTAAAATCTTTAAATAAAATGTGATATAGTTATGCTCACTATATATGTATTATTATTGGTATGCTTAAAATATTATATATATATATATATATATATACATATTAATTGTTTATTATTTACAGCCTGATAGTCAAAATAAAAAGCAATGAATAATTAACTATTTATCATGATCGTTGCGACACTATATGTGTAATATCATTCAGCATGTTTAACAAGCTCTGGTATTTGTAGGGATGAATTAATTACTTGATTACTTGATCCTTTTGTGTCCCAGAAAATATATAGTATTTTATAAGGAATTCATCCCTAAAAATTATGAAGAGTAGTTGGATTATTTTGATTATTACTCCAGTCAAGAATATTCTCAGTCAACGTCTTTTTTTCAACTTTATAGACCATATCAGAATTTGTTGAAAATGCTGAATGATGATATGCATAGAGTTTCCAAACGTACATAATAAATAGCTAATTATTTATTGCTATATTTCTATTTTTTTTTAAAAATCTTGTTTACTTGTTCTGAAAATTGAGGCCGTGTCCCGTTTAAAAAAAAAAGAATTTTAATCAATATAATTAAATAGTAGTTTGTATGCATGAGGTGTGTCAAAATTGTAAATGGTCTTTCCAGAGAATGTATATAGCTTTTTGCTCTTATTTTATAAAATACATGTCTTTTTTTACAATTTTAAGTATGAAATATTAAATTTCCATTCTATTTCCTACAAATAAATAATTCTGAATGTTCGGGGTACTATGATGTTAACTGTTATTGACGAGTATACTCGTCATGGAGAAGTGGCAGAATTTTGTGTATTTGCCATGTGTATAAACCATTGACCATTGGCTATTTAAGTCGCAATTTTTGAGAAAAAATCCCAAATTTTAAGATGTTTGGAATATTTTGAAGCTATCTTATGAAATAAGTAAGTTGTTAGTGGCGTTTTACCTTAAAGCGAGTTTGTATGAACTTCACGAAACATGAAAATAATATACATATTTATAATAAGAATTGATATTTAATTAATTAGATAACATATTAACTGCTTATTTCGAAAACAAAATTCATGCTTTGCACTAGAATGCCTCGAAAGTCAATGCGAATTCTAATTGATATCATTCGAACAAACTTATAGTACTTGTACTTTTTTGGGGAATTATTAACTTAACTAACTTTAGTACATGTAATTGTATTAATGTAATTTATTTTTTTATACCTTTCCGATTCTTGTAGTAAAATTGTATTTATTTAAGAGTGCGCGCGTCAACGGTGATCAGTACGATACACAGGATGCCATATTCTATAGTTTTGATATATTATGTATGAAATATCTGCTTTATTTAATTTTGTATTTTTATATTATTATGCCTATCAGTACATAACGATATGTAACTTATTAACATGTATGCCTCGAAATTTCAAGATTTAAATCGGCCCGTGAGTTAAAAAAGGTTGCACACCCTTTGCATGGACTACTAAGAGAAGTAATTAAACATTCATGATTTTTTATATTAAACTATTTTTGTAGGCCTATATACTTCACAGCAATCATTTGAATTGTTGCTCTTTTATGCATAATATTTAATTGAATTTATCCAGTTTTAACATATGTACTAAGTATATGGTTATTTTAACCAAAGAAGTAACTTACTGTAATTGACGAATATACTTTTCATGGCTGTTGGATGAGCGCTGGTTAATACACGTATATATACCAGTTTTCGCGATTCTTATAGTTTGAAACTCTAACAAACATTATATAACATTTGTTTACGTGCGTTATAAAAAAAAATCAAGTAGTGGTGCATGGCATTGTGTGTTAAGGCAAATTGCTGGAACTTTCCGTACTATAATTTTTTTTAACTTTTTTTTATTTTAAAAAATAGATGTTTTGAAAATATTTTAAAAATTTGAAATTGGTGCAAAAAATAGCATTTATCATAATTTTGAATCCTCTACATTCTGCTTTCCTCAACCATTAATCAATTCTTCACACCGTTAACAAAAGAAAAATGTATTTTGAATCATACGATATAAATTTTAAAACTTGGTATTCTACTATTTTTACTATTTTCTTTTTTACTGTAAACAGATTATACACAGAAGAAGCATGGAATAAACTTCCCGAAAATATTTCGCCAGAAATGCAACGTTCCGATCTAGGAACGACCGTCTTGCAACTGAAGGCTTTGGGAGTCGACAACGTTTTGAGATTTGATTACCCTTCTCCGCCCCCTTCGAAAAATTTGATAAGCGCCCTGGAGTTATTATTTGCTTTGGGAGCTCTTAAAGAAGATGGCGAACTGACGGAGAATATTGGTTATAAAATGGCTGAGATGTCCATAGAACCAATGTTGGCGAGGATTCTGTTGCAATCTGGTAAATTTTACATACTTTTATAAATATAAAATATAAATACAATAGAACTTTGTTTATCCGAACCTCAGTTATACGGATTCGCTATTATTCAGATTACCAACCGCGACCAATTTAGAGGGCGTTCATTAATCACGTGATCGATTTTTTAGGGATTTTTGGACTCCGCCTCCACCTTGGTGATTCGTGGTGATATTCCAAATTATATAAGGAAGTGTTAATTTTTTAATAAACATTGACTTTTGTTGATATCTATGTATGTATGTGTTATTTTTAATAAATACACAATGTAATTCTTCATACATTTGATTATCCGAATGCCCATCGACAACGATTAGTCCGGTTAATAAAGTTTCTACTGTATATTTATAGTATCAAACTTTTAGATTGTTAAAATTTTATGTTGTTAGTTTTAAATTCTAACATATTCAGATTCAAATACTTGACCCATAGATACTTGACCTCTGTTACATTTTTCAATCCGGTTTTTGTATTTCTAACCAATATTAGTTGGGAAATATAGTCGTCGTTCAGTCGATCACACGATTTGTGAAAAAATGGATATCTTTTTGGACTAAGTATTTTAAAATATCAAAAATTATTCGATAACTTTACGTAATAATCAATCGAACTATAGATTGTTTTTACAATAACCAGTAGAATATATATTTTTTTCTACGTTTTCTCAAAATATTCAAACTCAGACTTACTTAAATATTTCATATATAATTGCACTGTATGTATATATATATATATATATATATATATATATACAGTGCAATTACTTGGCAGTTATTAGTTACATTTTTTTTTCAAAACATACATCTTGCAAAACATTGTCTTGCATTTCGTTATCTGATTAATTTTTGTTAAATGTCGCTATACAGTTCATAGTTTCTTTTTTAATATCTTGTTGTATAATGCAACTAATATTTGCTATTTTTTTACTACTCTGATGCTAATTGATAGTTGTAATATAAATTCAAAGGAAAAAAAGAAAAAATACAAACATAAATTTGAACAAGGTGATCATTATATCGAGTTTATGTACAGTAAAAGTCCATTAGTCCAATAGCCTCCAGACCTATCCGTTTTGCTGTGCAGAACTATTTAAAATTCCGGACTATCGGGTGGTAATTATAAAAAATTAGATAAACTAATAGTAGTTTAATAATTAAACTACAAACAACAAAGTGTATTTTACATTTATTACGTAAATATTTAACATATTATACAAATACAGTATGCAAATTTAAAAACATTTTTCTTCTACATTTCATATGATGAACAAAGTTATGTATGTAAAACATATATTATTCAGATTTAAAAAAGTCACGAATGTCTTCTTGATTTCTTGATTTTTGGTGTTTATCATGAAACTTATTTCTAATAATATGAAATTCAATAATTTCTGAAGCACTGTAACTTGTACTGGCCTCAGCAAAACAGATAAACTTATTGAGTGATTCTGCAGCTTCTTCCCAACTGATTTTTTCATTTTCTTCCGTTTTGGAAACTGAATGCCTTTCTTCAAGTTTTTGAGTAGGCTCAGGTTTTGCCACAATGTTCATAATGTCCTCATCAGTTATTAATTGCACTATAGGTTCATTCTCGATTAGAAGCCGCTCTTCCACCTCAAGTTTGGGCAGTTTTTTCAATTTATTATCAGCACCTCTAGCGACATCTAATTCTTTGGAAAGAGCCACAGATTTCTCAAACTCGTCTTTGTATTCATTCATAGAGGTTGGGTTTGCTGAAAGTATTTCTCCAGCTATATCAAGTTTTCGAATACCATGTCGAAACTTAAAGTTTCTGAGCCAACCATGAGAATAATTACATTCATTTTTAACAACTCCTAAATTTTGGCCAATTTCTTTTGCCTTTTCAACAATCATTGGCCCGGTTACTGACTGTCCTTCTGAACGTACTGCACTAAACCATTTATACAATTCACTATCTAGCTGTTCTAGTTTTGGTTTTTTTAATGTTTGTCTAGAAGCTAATGCTTCTGTTGTTACCGACTGAGTAGCAAACTTGATCAGTTCATCTTTTTTTGTTTTGATGTCATAAATAGTTGATGAGCCAACATTAAACTCATTCGATAAAGACTTTCTACTCTCACCTTTTTCCAATCGTTCGATGATTTCTAGCTTCTGGTTGAGCGTCAGTGTTATATGTTTTCGTTTCTCTCTTTTCGAACTTGTAGACTCAGTACTTGAAAACATGTTTACTGCAAGTCACAAAGAAAATACCTTTTTATAAACAGTTTCACAATGTACTTCAATAAAAAGACACAAAAACGTTAAGAAAATAGCAAAGACGTCTTGTGATTGATAAAGGAAAGGTATACTTCAATAAATAATGCCTCGTGATTAATTAACGGAACTTGCGACAGTTAATACTGAACGAACAAAACCGACCCCTTCCGAATGATCTCGAGCTACCCCAAAAACTTCTAAACCTTCAGCTAAACTAAAATTTTCCGAATCGATGCCGGACTGTTGGGTGCCGGACTAATGGACTTCTACTGTACTAATATACTGTTTTATGCATTGGTTACATCCTTGCTAAATGCTTGTAAATAAAAGATTTTATTAACTTCCCGACGGAGAAATTTATGTTTTTTTATGGAAAAATCCGATTCACTAATTTTATGCATGTTTTCTCCATGTTTCAAGCCATTCTGAATCGAATGAGACCAAATTTGGATTTTTTGCCATTCGATGTATCTCGATGAGCACTAGCGTTTATCAATTTTGCGCGACGATCAACCAAGCCATTTCTTTGTAAATTGCAGAAAAAAGAAAAAAAATCTTCCACGTTTTAGCCCACAATTCTGAATCAATTTTGAAAATTCAAAAGCTGTTCGAAAGGTATTGGTTAGGAATCGTTAACCGATTTCAGAAATTTAAAGGCCATCTGATGTATCTCAATTAGGACTATTGTTTATCAGTTTTGTGTGACGATATGCCAAGCCGTTTCTTTGTAATTTGGAAAAAAGTGTTAAACTTTTCGTCCACATTTAAGCTCATACTACCGAATTGATTTTAAACTAGTGGGGTGTATGGCATCGTGCCTTAAGGCAAATTGCTGGAACTTCCCGTACCGTAAAGAAATGTTCGAGGAATATTGAGTGTTTGCAAATAGATTATCATAAATATTATAACATTGTCTAATATTTATAAGAAATATATAAACTGAATTGCAAAATGGAAATTATTTGTTAAATTATATTAGAACTTTAGTCAGAATTAAGAATAAAATCAGAATTATTTTCGATATAAAAAATATACCCCAATCAATTATTTTGGTAAAACAAGCAGAAAGTTTTTCGAATCATTTAAATCGGATGCTTAGTTCTCTCAAAAACTGCCATTTTTGCACATTTAGCTCTGTATCTTCGAAATGGCTGGGCCTGCCTTTGCCAAAAACTAATAACCTCTTCCCCCAATCATTACTAATTAAATACTTTTAAGATCATTCAAATCGGATGCTTCGTTCTCTCAAAAACTCGATTTCTATTTTCTGCACTCTTTGCTCTTTATCTCCGTAACTGCTGGACCTGGCCAAAAAATAATCAGCACCATTCAAATCGGTTGATCCGTGCGCCCGAAAACGTGAACGAAAAAATGCGGACACACAAAACACACACATCAATTTTTTCTGAGGTATGCAAAATGTTCAGAAACCTTCAAACGTCGAGAAATTCAAAAATTTTCAATTTCGATTTTTGGTCGATTACAATAACTTGCCCTACGGGAAGTTAAAAATCGAACTGTTCGAAAGATATTAGTTGGGAATGATGCTGATTAGTTTTAGGTGAAAATGTACCGAACCATTTTCTTGTAACTAACTGTTGAAAAAAAATTTAAGCCGATTTTTATGGAACTTCTTTGGCGACTTACTGAAATATTACGGCCTTACGACAAGTAGTAAAAATACTTGTTACAAAGTAGTAAAAATACAAGTAGTAAAAATACTACAAAAATAAAATTACACGATTTACTTAGTATAACGATAGAGTACTTGGTCTTAATTGACATACTAAACCATTAAAGTCCTACGGAAACTGGTTAATTATAAAAATTTATTTTTGAAAATTTGCTTTTAGAAAATATCTCCCAGTTAAAACATTCGTTTGTTTTCAATTATGTGTACTTAATCCACTCGGAATACTTTTAAACACTCATAAATTAATTTATTTTTTATTGATTAAGTTTTATTGTTAAGATTACACATATTGAAAAGTTCATGTAAAATGTCTCAAGGAAAATACCAATACCAACTAGTTTAATATATCTTTAATCATTTTTTTTTTTATTTTATATTGAATCATTTTAGTTGATACAGTTCCATTTTTATTTTAGATCACATGGGATGCACCGATGAAATACTTTCGATAATTTGCATGCTCCAAGTACAAAATGTGTTCATTCGACCTACATCTGGTCAAGGTGCAATCAAAGCTCGGATAGCCCGCAGAAATTTCGAAGTTGAGGAAGGCGATTTGATAACATTACTCAATGTATTCACAGCTTTCATTGACCACAACTCCAGCAAAGATTTTTGTAATAAATATTATCTAAACTATAAGAGTTTAAAGAGAGCCAAAGAAATCAAAGGCCAGTTGAAGAAATTTTTGACAAACAAGTTTGGTATGAAAATTGAAAGTTGTGGGAAAAACATTGAGGCTTTGATAAGGTGCATTGTATACGGATTATTTCCTAATGCAGCTTACTTGCATTATTCTGGGAATTACAGAACTGTACGTGGTGATTTTGAATTACATATTCATCCAAATAGTTGTTTATATACAACCCTGCAACCTCCTTTGTAAGTATTAAATTATACCAGTACATATCTTATATTCAAAATTTTATCTTTCTGTATAAATGCCACGCATTAGATATCTAAACGATTTCTTTAAACAAATTATATAATCACGTAAAAAATATTTAAAAATTTATTTACTCCAGAAGGAAGACTATATTAATAATTGATTACTCATTTCTTCATTTTAATATTTGAAGTTGATTTAGTTAGATATAATTTTTTGTTTTTCATCTTTACATTACTTTATGACCGTCAATCTTTATACATCATCGTCATTATTATTTGATTTCGTGAAGTTTTTTGCTTAAATATTATTTTATATAAATAATCGTCTTATTTTAATTATAATTCTTATTTTAATTCATATGTTATATATATATATATAATATATATATACTAGCAAACCCGACGAACTCCGTTTCGCCACCAGATGGTTTCGTGAGAAAGATGAAAATTTTTTTTGTTTGTTTTATATTTGAAAAGAAATTTTTTTTATTGCACAACAGGAATGAATTTATTTCGATTACAAAAATGAAGTGTTTTTTAGTTGAACTTCTCTAAGTGAATAAAAGTAAATCCGCAAATTATCCGTTTCATGGAAGTGGTCTTTGGTGAACCACATTTTTTGTTTTTTGGTCTGACGTTAACACAAACAAAGCGGATGGTTTTTCAACTCGTGAACAGGTAACGTATAACTGCCCATGTGATAAATAATGATTTTCTAAATAAT